CCCTACACAACTACCCTCAAGGAAAGAAGACTATAGATGCGTTGTCACCTCTGAGGGCCAAGATGAAATTCCTCACCACCATTAAATGGCCTGGAATTTGGCAGCACAAATAACTATTTGAATACTTTCGAAATCACTATTTTCTCTTTAAAAAGATCTTTAATCTTTGCACATGGACCAACATCAGACTTGTAACTCTAGTGGGAATTGTTTGCCGGTGGGAATCACTGCACAACTGCACTGTTTTTTATTTATTTTTCTGATAGCAAAAAATAAACAAACGGTGGATATACATTTTATCCAGTTCAACGGAAATACGTCAAATATCAAGAAGAAGCCAGCAACGATTCCTACCAGAGTTACATAATCGCATTGTTAATTATTTAAGGGCCATATAAATAATTCTTCCGTACAGGATTCGAACCCGCAGCCTCGCGTTCAAATGTTTAGGCACTGCGCTATTGAACGGTTAATTCAACTTTAAATCAATATCTACCTAATCTATTGAGGAACAACCGTAATCACAGTTTTTATTTTGATTTTAATGTTATTATTAGAAAGGCGCTGCTGCCAAAGCAATGGTTTGATTGCCTCTGTCGTCTCTTACGACAACCACAGAACGATATAGCGTAGTGGATATTCTTACACCGTCAGTACAGGGTCCAATCATAGTTTATTATACTCTTTTTAAGCTGTGGTCTAATAATATTTTATATTCATAGGTGCAATAACCCTGTATATTTAATTTACAGATACGCTGGACGGCTGTTGGTTCATGTTTCCGCCAAATTACGGCTCGATCGCCGGGATCAGCTATCTTGATCCTCTATCCGTCAACGAATACCGTTACACGTGTCAGGGATCTGGTAATAATAAGGTAAGAAGAAATTTAAAAAACACAATCTGTTTATTTTTTATACTTGGTATGTTGTTATATACTCAGTCTTTGAGTATATAAGTATCTCTAAAAAATGTCCATTTATTTTCCGCGCTTCATTATCATCAACACAACACAAGTCCACCGCGGAACATGGGCTTTCCCCAAAAGAGGTCTCAAGCTTGAGAGCATCTTTCATCCATTGACTTGAATCTTGGAATAATTTCGCAAATGCGATATTTGCTTGTATTTATAACACTTCATTACCTAAATTAAGATGCCTATTAAATTGCCATAGTTACCACGAGTGGCAGGTAGGTTGGAAACCATAGTTTATTATAATTTTGAGGTGTTATCAGGAAAACTCTGCTGACCATCTCTTGTTTCACTTACCCTCTGTCGCCTCTTACCACGGTACGATATGGGGTAATGAATATTCTTTTACCATCACTACCAGATACCCACCGGCTTTACACAATCACACTTCAAGATGTCCTGCTCCACCTATCACTCGAAAACAATTTCATCCCCATTGGTTGTCAGTTCTTTGGTGCATGTGTCGCGGGTCAACGTCACGTCATCTTACTGATTCTACATTACAAATATTTTAAATCAAGACAATTTATTATTATTATTGGTTAAAACGATAATAATAAAAACCCGACTGCGTTAAAAAGGTTACTAAAAATAACCTTCCCTCTCTTTTCTTTTTGTATTTACAGATGCAATGTATAAATATGATATATGTAGGTGTTCTGAGGCAGTCGGGTAAAAACATAGTCACGATTCTTTTTTAAGAATAAGTGTGACAAACGGGCACACAGTCCACCTGATGGTAAGTGGATGCTGTGGTCAATAAACATCTAGATCTATATTCAATTAAGAATCAAAATGCAGTTGCGTTGTCATACCTAAGGTCTAAGATGGAAAGCCTAGTTTCTAAAAAAAAAGCGCCTTCCGGTTCTCTACAGTCACCATAGAAAACACAGCAGCTGCTATTTTACGCTGCTTTTCTGTGAAAGTGTCGTCCTTTCCCGGTCGAGCCGACCCATTCGTGCTTCAAGTATGAAGTAGCAATAACTGCAACAAGTCTAATGTAGACTGGACATGAGACATAGACTGTGTGCTCGTTTGTCACCCTTATTCTAAAAAAAATTATCATCATCACCACCATTATAGTCTATCAAAGTCAACTACTGAACATAAGCCTTCCCATATATTGCAATTTATGAGATATTTGTCATATAGTCGAATGGAAGGCGGGTTGGCACTGGGCAACGACAGTTTCTTGTTTTGTAGTTGTTTTAAGGTAGACGCTGCTGTCCATCTAGTTTTTTCATCTGTCGTCTCTTACGGCACCCTTAATATTCTTAATAAATCTTATGTTTTAAAATAAAGATTATAAACGATACTTTTCTTTTTAAATTACTTATTCATTTTTATCTTTATCATATTATTTTTCGCAGGGTTTGTACTGGTACCCCCAATGGATGGGCGCACCGCCACATCACCCATACCCTCAATCTGGCGATATCCCGTTAGACATACCTCAGGGTGTTCCTGGACCATATTATCCACACTTACAAGGCGATCGTTCCAAAGTCAAGAATACGAAACTCGGCGGAATTTAGATACAATATCAAATTTTTGGAATAAATATTTTTTAAGTATTAAAACATGTTATTTTATTTCACAAAGGCTTCTGGATTTTCTTTCATCCAAAAATTACCTAACGTAATTATATTTTTATATGTAAACTAGCTGTACCCCGCGACTTCGCCCGCTATTTAACCCTACAATAAAAGCAGCCCAAGTTACTCCTGCCTGCTACATCTGCCAGTGTGTATAAATATTGACAAATATTGACATTAATATTTATACGATACTAACGTTAGTCAATTGTGTTGCCTTCCCGCAACCCCTCCACTAACACTTAAACTTTATGGTATGATATTAAAATTCAAATTGACTTTTAAGTATTATTACGTATTTTTTTGTATGGGAATATAGAAAAGTGTTGTTTTTAAACCTTTTCAGGCAATTTTTAAAATTTTTCTCACCGTAAGAACCATCTTCGTACTTCAAGGAATATTATAAAATAATTATAATTAAAAATTTTGTACAGCCGACTTCAATATAAGCGACTTCAAAGTTAGTTATTTAAGAATAACTCAATAACCATTGGTCTGACCTTGATCAAATTCATATGGGACCACACGAGAACTATCAGCTTTCATATAAAAAAATAATCATCGAAATCGATTCACCCAGTACAAAGTTATGAGGTAACACACATAAAAAAAACATACAGTCGAATTGAGTACCGTCTCCTTTTTGGAAGTCGGCAGAAAAGAATTAGCGAAATCGGTTCAGTTGCTCTCGAGATTTGCGCTTAGCAACACATTCAGCGATTCATTTTTATATTATAGATTATATGGTCATTAGTTGGACAGCCGTGAGAACGTACAACAGGTTCTAAAAAGTTGTTTGAAAAACAGTTGTAAGTATAAGCTGTGGGATATTTCATCTTGCTCTCAGAGGTGACAACTTTGTTTGAAGTTGGTTGCATGAGTCCATGGGCTGCAGTGGCCAATTAGCCAATTACCATTAGTTGGACTGTGAGTTCTTTAAAAAAACGAGCAGCAGTAGGTATGCGTTTCTTGAAATAGTTGGCCACTCTCAATAGACGAAGCGGGCGGGTTCGCGTAAGCATTAAGTCAGTTTCCAAGACGTGTATCATCTAATGCCGCTCCTCAGACGTGTAACTCCCCAATACTAGTATGTAGAATTTGACTGCGGCATATTGCGACATTTGAATGGATTATCTACTATAAGATGATCGTCTTTGTGATGGTACTACGGTAACAAAGAACTTTTGAGAATTAGTATATATTTTTTATTATCAGAAAGTATTAAAATACATACAAAAAACATGAATAAAAACAACTATAGGTGACTCCTTTACTGCTTAGAAGTTCATCTGGGTAGGCACTACCCTCCGACTACTACGGAGAGGAAGTCCACACTCGAGGATTATTTTTTGTATGCGGCCAAGCGGCGGCAGGGGGAAAGGGGGCGCGGATGGAAAGCGTTCCCGTGGTCCTGCCAACATTCGGGGAAAGTGGAACACCATGGGGTTTTAGTTTTTAGTCCGACATAACTAGTCTTTACCCCCGCAAGGCGGGTATACGTAGACAAGTCTCCATGTAAAAAAGGCACTACCCTCCTACCTTTTACTTTCTGCCACCAATGAGCAGTGTTTGCACTGCTGAAGTCTGAAGAGTCCTAGTATAATTATAGTGAGACATTCCATCTGTTCTCAGAGGCAACGCATCTTTAGCCTTTGTCATAGTTAGTTCCAGGTGTCCATGGACCACAGGAGCCATTCACCATTAGGTGGACTGTAAGTTTTTTTTATAGTATAAGGGTGACAAACGAGCACACAGCCCACCTGATGGTAAGTGGATGCTGTGGCCCATAGACATTTACATCTATCCTCGTTTGCGAATCAAAATGCAGATGCGTTGTCATGTTGTTGTGGAAAAAGATGGAATGCCTTTTTTCCAGTAAAATGGGTCTCCGGTTCTCTACACTCACCATATGAAACACAGCAGCATTAAGCTGCTATTTTACGCTGGTATTTTGTGAGAGCGTGGTCCTTCCCCAGTCGAGCCGACCCATTCATGCTACAACTATACTATTAATATAGCTGCAGCATGGCTCTACCACGTGGTGGTTTGTCACTTCAGATTCATAAAAAAGGTTTAAGTTAGCGTCAAAAGCGCGAGACGTCTTGTATTACGATCGCCTGCCAAGCGTAGCGATTAAGTCAAATCCTCACCACGATGTGAGAGGCCCATGTTCAGCAGTAGGCTTTTACGGGATGATAACGGGGCATTCAAATTTAGTCCTCAGGGGTGACAACACCTCTGCTTTTTATTTTTAATCGAGGGTAGATGTAGATGTCTATGGGCCACAGCGTCCACTTACCATCAGGAGGACTGTGTGTTTGTTTGTCGCCCTTATTCTCCAAAAAGTATTCTTAAATTGGCTCTTTTTCATTAACATATATCTTTTAGTTTCATCCACGTAAAGGTCAGTTGGTCAAGGAAAAGCGCAAGTACAATTTTTATTAACTTTAATTCATAGTCTTAAAATCATAATTTACAAAACATAACGAAACTTATGTCAACTCAATACAACGGGCGAGTTGAGGATCGTAAACCTAAATAATTATTAAAACTAAAATTTTGTTTTGTAAACACGCGACGAAATTACAACACCACATATTAATATTAACTACATTTTTGTAATTAATTACCAATAGACATGTGGCGAATATATGCCGTGTAATTTCACCAACAGATAATTTTTATTGCACAGTAATATTACAATTACGAAATAACAGAAAATGTCATTACGCATTAATAAACTTGCCAAAATGTATTGTCCCTATGAATACTTTATTATTTACCGTCCATTCGTTAATTCCATAGCGTAATATAGCGCAATTCTATTTGATTCTAAATCAATCTGTACCGATATCTTAGATCTATTGAAAAATCATTATATTAGGATATCTATTTGTTAGGGATATCACACTTTTTGTTATGGTAGTATGAGTGGTCTTTCAGTGCTAAGAGATATTTCTTTGTAATGTGAGGAATAAATCCAAGATACTACAGTTATATGACATAATGACCATAGCTATCACAAGTACACCACAGAAGAAGTGACACCGTAAATCATGATGATCCACAAACATTGAGATATTGACGTAAGGTGAGTAGAATGTATAATAGTAACATATCTATTCTATCATGCCAAAGCAAACATACAAACAATCTAGTAAAAATAATATAGTACATTGATCTATTAAATACTCCTATACAATAATCTGTAATAACTTGAAATACAATAATGTCGCATAAACGGTAAATAGAAATCATGTATAGTTGCAAAATTGTCACGTTTCTCAACTTAATATATTATAATAAATAATAATAACACAATTGTTCAGGTGATAAATAACTAAAAGAAGGTACATAGTGCAGTAAGTCTTAGAATTACTGGAAGTGGAAAATAAATGCATTTGCGGGTAAAATGAGATTAATTTAGCATCGCATCTATAATTTAACAACATATTCGATAACAGACGATGGGTTTAAAGTTATTCAATAAATAGTTTTGTTAGTCCAGCTGTTATTAGGTATTTGAACAATAAGTCCTTGGTACATTAACCGAATGTGATACCCATATATAATTTATTATAGTATAATATTTATAATCTAAGATCAATACGCCTAACTTCTTATATTATAAATACCATACCAACAATATTTAGTTGAAGGAAATGTTTGAAGGAATACAAACGAAAATATAAGCACGTTTCCGTGCAGATTTACGAAGTGCTCCGAGAGTGAGTGATGAATTTGGTGTATTTTAAGGATTTTTTTTTAATAATAATCGCTATACCTGACAAATACGGAATGAAAAGTGTGAACTAGCGTTTGCTGTTTTTATTTAATACCACGCATTTATAATTAACCTACAAATATAAAAATAATATAGAAACTGACAATGTTTGCCCAAATACTCAAACTCGCTACTCAATTTTAAGACGCCGTAAGTCTCGTGCTGTCTCTTTTACTTTAAGTCAAAGTGACCGTGACACCATGAGAATTGACGGCGTCATAATATTTAGTAACGTTGAGTATTTATAATCCATAAATATCAAAATGATTTTAAGAAATGCTTAAAATTGCTGTTGCTGTTGTGCCCCCCCCCCCCTCTCTATCTCTTCACTAACTGGCAAGGAAAAGTGACAGGCATAGAGATAATTAACACAAGTAAGCGATTATAAGTAAGATCGTGAATTATTAGAGTTTCTGTATTTAAAGAACTGTACGTAGACACACGCTACGTAGACAGCTACGGTAGCTTAGTAGGTAGTAATAATACTGCAAACGCCAGTCGCTAGTCTTTCCTTTCTTTATTTGTCCAATGTATAGGGTCAATTACGGAAAATATTAATGTCACCACTTCTCCGACCAAATCGAGTTTCACTTTTTGAACGATTTTAGATTTTTCTAGATTTCTAAACTCGAGTAACCACCAATAAAACGCCAAAAACTATTGACTATAACTATCTTAGTAGGTATAAAACGGATGGGCGACGTTAATTCGGTACGAATGACGATTAAAATGTGTTTATTTTTTGGTACTTTTTCTTTACCAAAGTGTGATGCCTTACTCCTTAAGCAAATCTTTTTGAAAATATGTAAAATATGTTACACGACATATTGGTTATATATTACATAACCTTTCACTTCTTTTTCTAACAATTTCACCTTATCCTCCGTTTATTATATTATTTCATTTACGTCTACGAAAAGAAATATATTTTATAATTGATTTTATGAATTACCGTTGTATAAGTAATAAAAAATATATATTTTTTTGTAAATGCAGACCTTTAAATACAGTTATATCATAAGACTGAATAACCCCATTTTCGGGCAAAGTAATTTTGCATAATACATTTATTTTACATTACAACGGTTAATACGGTTCCAGCCTTAAAACCTATAATTACTTGAAGATTTTGCCAACTTGAAAATGTTTCAAGTAATTTTAACGTGCTGATTGACGGATATGCGCGTTTCTGCCATTTTGTCAAATACCATTCTCGCATGAATTGTTTAAAGATCGTATACATAGATATACATATTTTATAAGTAAATTATATTTGCAATACATCATGATTTTAAATCATTTTAAATTACTGTAACAATTTTGTCATGAAATATTTTAAAATAAAACTTATATAACATCAAACTAATTTTGAGAAATAGCTTTTTTAATATATTATGGCCGGATTGGTTAGAAGGTAGAGTCAGGCTTTCTGTGCCACAGGTTCTTCTATTTCAAATTCCTTCTCCCAACTCTCGTCAGAATTTGCACTAGCATCATCTTTAACCTGATTATCCCCAAAATAGTCCTCCACTAAATTATTTCCGCACTCATCGGCTTTAACAGCTTTTTTTGGCGTTCGACCATTTTTGTTTTTCTTGTCTATGGTTTGATTGTTCATTTCGTCTTTGAGTGATGGCAGTTTCTTGTTGTTTTCTGAATTGTTGTTAACCATGTCTCGTGAGGATGACCGTTTGTTTATTTTCTTTGAAGCAATTTCTTTTTCATATTCTTCTAGAAGTAGTATTTGTTGTTCCTCTGTAAGTTCAACGTCATGTGCAAAATCTTCTGTAAATAAATAGATAAATATATCATTTGTATTGTTAACAAACTTGAAATTATTTGTTTAGAACATAGCTTTACTGCTAGGAATTTATTATATTTCAAATTATACCGATTCTTCATTTTTAAAATATTTAATTTGATCGAATCTAGGTCGGCATAGAAACAGCCATTTATTATTATTTCTTTAAATTTAAAGTCACCATTGGTTTAACAATTTACTTACCATCCGCCCATGCGACAACTTCGTCTTCATCTTTTTCATAGGGAACATCACTGTCTAGTCCAGAGAGCACTTTCTTAGGACTCCTGCAAAAGATACATCATCTTATATCCAAAAGCAGTCATAGTGACCAAACGACACATCTGTGATTGTACATAATCTTATCAAACTATTACATTGACTGTGGTTGCCATTTTATTTAGGGACTTTCATTCATAGGTATAGGACAGTAGGACAGTAGGACAACACAGGATATGAAAGTCCCTTTAGTAAAAACTTAATTTGTTGTTTGGAGTTAGGACAAGTATTTCTTCAAACGAGCATGCGGCTCACCTGATGGTAAGTGACTACCGCCGCCCATAAACAACTACAACACCAGGGTATGTATGTAAGAATGGTGAATGACAAAAATCGGAGACTTTACAACTGTTAACGAGGCATTCTAACTTCATTAAATCTTAATAATTTTTTTATATTAGAGGGTCAAACGGGAATTGTGGATGCTTTGCCGGACTTTTAAAAAAGAGTAAGCTCTTTTCTTGAAGGTCGCTAAGCGTATTAGTCTGGAAAAATCGTTGGTGGTAATCGATTCCAAATGAAGTTGTGCGAGTAAGAAAACTTCTTGTAAATCGCACAGTGGTGGACTGTATATCATCCAGATGGTATGGATGGTATCGCGAGTTTTGAGATTGCGTTATTGAAAGGCTGGAATTAGTCTGAAAAATTCCTCTGAGCACTCCACGTGGTAGATGCGATAGAATATGAAAAGACAGTGAGTCAAGCCGATGAGAAAGAACTCGGTAGTCGACTCGGTAGTAGTGCGATCAAGTGGATTGAGCACTGGTATACCTCGGCCCAGAGATAAGAACAGTATTTCATCTAAGGTTGAACTTGCGCCTTGTACAGTTGCAAACAGTGTGCCGGCATGACATACTGTCCCGCTCTACAAAGCACACCAAGCTTTTTAGAGGTCAATTTCGCCTTCCCTTCCAAGTGACCGCGAAACTGAACGTCATTCGATATTTCGACGCCAAGGATTCCAATGCTAGCCGAGGCAACGAGGAGAGTGCCTTGAAATTGAGGAGATATTACAAAGGTGTTCTTTTTAGCGGTAAACGCACAAACTAAAAAACTGGGGATTGAACTGGACTAAATTTAGTAAATTAAAGTAAAGTTGCAGCCTATTTACGTCCCACTGCTGGGCACAGGCCTCCTCTCATTTCTGAGAGGGTTTTAGGGCAAGGAAATGTCCGCCGCGCTGCCCAATGCGTGTTGGCGAACTTCACATGTCTTGGAATAATTTTTTTTCTTATTTCTCAGACGTGCAGGTTTCCTCACGATGTTTTCCTTCACCGCCGAGCACGTGGTAAATCAGCACTTATTTTTTTTTATAGAATTAGGGTGACAAACGAGCACACAGTCCACCTGATGGTAAGTGGTTGCTGTGGCCCATAGACATCTGCATCTATCCTCGTTTGTGTATTAAAATGCAGATGCGTTGTCAGCCTTGAGGACTAAGATAGAATACCTCTTTTCCAGTAAAGTGGGTCTCCGGTTCTCTACACTCACCATACGAAACACAACAGCAATAAGCTGCTATTTTACGCTGGTATTCTGTGAGAGCGTGGTCCTTCCCCGGTCGAGCCGACCCATTCGTGCTACAACTATACTATTAATATAGCTGCAGCATGGCTCTACCACGTATAATTTTAAACTTAAAATTGCAATTAACAATTTCATTGGTGCCGGCGGGGATCGAACCCGGTTTGCTAGAGTACTGTGAAGCTTATAGCGAGCGCTAATCATCTGAGCTACCACGGCTCTTGCAATTTCGACTAAATTTAGTAGCCCCCAATCTGAGACTTTGTTCAACAAGACAAGTTTATTTCGGCACTCAACGACGGGTTCCCGAAAAATATTAGAATGGCCGGTGTATAAGGCATCGCCAGTACTGTCATCTGCATAACAATTAATGTTGTTACTGGTTTGTAACATATCGTTGATATGCAGAAGGAACAGAGTAGGCGATAGCACGTAGCCTTGTGGAACACCAGCGTTAATAGACTAGTAATCGGAGCATGTACCGTCGACTACAACCTCAATGCTCGATCTGAGAGAAAACTTGTGATCCTATTGCATAACTACTTGGTAAGCCCATAAGGTGTAAGCTTCTAAAGAAGCGCTTTGTACTAAGCCCGATCGAAAGCCTTCGCTATGTCCAAACTAACTCGACCACCTGCGCTCATCGGTGTCTTAGGTAAACGAAAAGATTACTAGCTGAGCGACCCCGACGGAAACCGTACTGGCATGATGTGGCAGTTAGTAATGGATTCCATTAGTTTTGAGAACAAGGCAGTGATGGCGATAGACCTGTAGTTGGACGGATCAGAGCGGTTATCTTTTTTAGAGATCGGGTACACGAAAGCTTTCCACGAATTCGGGACTACACCTAGGGAGACGTGCTTTAATCTTCAGAAGTGGTAATACGTCTGTATTTTGATTTCTAATCGAAGATAAATATATATGTGTATGGGCTACAACCATAGCATCCACTTACCATCAGGTGTATTGTATGCTCGTTTGTTACCCTTATTCTATAAAAAAAATTGACAAGTAAGTAATACTGTTGTCCGCAGTAGTTATGGCGAGAAATAAAACAAGGTTTTCCAAGAACTTTCCCCAAATCTATGTACCATCCATTGCAGTCTATAAGAGTCCCCTGCCGAAACATAGGCCTATTCATAGAAGATCGCCATAGCTTGGCAGGCGGGTTGGCAACCGCAGTTTTTTTTAAATATTTTGAGTTGTTAAAAGGAAGATGCTGCTGCCCATTTCATGTTTCAGTTTCCCCCGTCGCTTCTTTCGACACCCACGGAACATTATGGGGTAGTGGATATTCTTATACAGCCACTACACAGGTAATATCTAAGTACGTCATAGTATTAAAAGCCACTATAAAATCTTTAGTTTAAAATAAAGAAGCTAAAATTTAGCTAGTATTTCTTCATAAATTCATAATTCATAATGGTGATAAAAATCAAAACTAGACATGAAAAATATACCTTTTTTAGTTTAATTTAGCTTGATTCTGATAACATATTGGATTTTGAAATTAGGTATTTCTGGGTAAATTTTTTCTCAGTTGACTAGTAGCTTTAAAAATCTGAACAAAAGAAAGTAACTTGTTGATTTTGTTTCTTTCGAAATTATTTGTTGTGTCCTTGTTTAACAACAAAAATCTTTAGATCTCCTTCGTCAGCAGTGACCTTCATGCTTCTATAACTTTTCTATAATGATAAAAACTTGTGCCAAAGTGAATTATTAAATGTATTGCAATCAGTAATCCAAGCATTTACAAAGTTTTTGTTTCTTATTAACAGGTTGCACATACAACAAGAAGCGACTTTAGCTGCCATTATGCTCAAGACCCTAAATCTTAGCAGTAAGAGTAGAGTCCCTCATCCAGGTATAATTGATAGAATTTACTCAAAAATTCTTGTCTTACAAGCCAAGTACGATAAGATCCCAAAACAAATTGTATTCGTTAAGAAATATAAGATATAATTAAATGAAAGCAGCCAGCCGGAGGGATTAAGCCCGAAATGACTTATAGTTTTCACCGATGATTCTAAAACAAACGACGGTGTAGGATCTGGAACTTTCTTTGAAGATCTCAATATCCACATATGCACACTGCTGGGAGCCCACAACACAGTCTTTCAGGCGGAATGTATGGGTATCATTCAAGCGGCCATAGCAGTAGATGCTAGGAAGGTTAAAGACTTCTCCATCAGAATACTGACCGGCAGTATGGCGGTACTCCAAGCTCTGAGTTGCAATGTAGTGAACTCGGGACTAATATATGAATGCCATCAACGATTCAGTGAGGTACCTTATAAACACAATATGACTCTGCAATGGACAAAGGGACACAGTGGATCCAGAGACAACGATGCAGCAGACGAACTGGCCAGAAGAGGATTGGCTCTGGCCACTATAGGACAAGAACCAATCATACCAATCCCCTTTGGTAGCGTTCGTTCACTGGCACGTAGAAATTTCACTAATCAACACGCTCAGCTTTGGAAAAATCTAGTAGACTGTAGACAAGCTAGGGAAGCCCTGCCTGAAATAAACAGTCATTTAACCAAGGTTCTAATAAGATTGAAGAAGCCGCAGATCAGGATAGTAACAAGTGCTATGAGAGGACATGGCACCTTTAACAAACATTTATTTACCACATAGGTGTTACAGACAGTCTCCTGTGCAGAGCATGTATGGGGGAGGAAGAAACGGCGGTCCACGTGTTGCTGATATGTCCGGAGGTCGCTGCATACAGGGCTAAACATCTCGGCACGCAGGGATCACTCCCTAAAGTTGCATGCAACATCAAAGGACTGTTGAACTTCTTAGGGGAGATTTCATGGCTCGAATAATCACATTATTCCTGCCCACACGCAAAATACGCGCTTAGACGTGGAGTTGCGGAAAATAGCCCGTCGTAAACTAAACTAAACTGGTTGCAAGGTGTAGTATTTCACAAATTTTATACGTATTTGTATTTGATTTCGTGTGTTTATGTACGTATTTTAATTATTTTTAAAAAGAATAACAAATAAAAGAACAAAAAAGTCATTTCTATTCAAATATTTTCAGTAGGCATATTACATATTTTCTATATTTTATTCCTTACACGAAGTAGATAAGGATAGAATATTTAATGATTTTATATAAATGTTGTAATTTTTTTTTAAAGTATTTTTTTTACTTATACCCCTGGTTCGGAAAAATCTCGGTCCTTTGAAGAACCAGCAAGAATTTCTAGGGATTTCTTTCCCAATAAAAATAGTAAAAAAATCGTTCAAGATTCGGGTTACAGCAAATTTAAACGGTCCTCTATATCATGTCGTTTAATGTTCTAGCATAGAATATATAATAGTACTGTACGTAGTAGTTTAAGTTACAGTGTTCGCACGAAGAATTGTATTATCGCGCGAGTTTCATTTTGGGAAAGGTATTCGTGCACAAAAATGTAATTTTTGCGGCAAAATAAAACTGTCTTTCAAGTTATAATAATGAATAATTTTTATTGAAATTAATTTTACAATATCAAAATGTACTCGACAATAGCATATTAGTGTTAGTAGTTATAACTTTAGTTTATATAGAGCTAATTAATAGTAATCAATAATTTGGAAATGTAACATGTTACACTTCGAAATGAAGCTGATAAAAACGATATAAGTAAGTTACGCTAAAATTAAAACAGAAGCTACATTGGTCCCTATTAGAGGTATTTGAATATTTTTTTAACAATTTCAACGAACAATCCCGTTTTTGTTGCTTGATTAAGTAACATTTAAAAAGAAGAATGTCTACATCAAAATTTCTTAACTAATAAAAGGGGATTGTTCATTCTTGGCTTAACGTGGACAAGTTGTTCTGTAAAAAGTATTTTTACGAAAAAACATAATTAAATCTAAAATTAATATTTTTTAATTGTCGTAGTAAGATAAGTAAATCTAAAAACAAGTCGTTTAATAAGTATTTAAGCCGATTGAGTTCAAAACGCGTCGCCATTTTTTTGGTTGGAGACCGATTCAGTGTTGCCACATTAATAATAAAAAAGTCGAGCCAAATTACCCTCATAAACTGAGCAATTTCTATGCAACAACTGATTGTTTGCTAAGCCTATTTCATTAGCCGTAGTTTTCATGACGTGTCTTAAAAAGAGACTAGCTTCGGCTTTGTAGAGCGTTGTCACTGGCGTTCAATTTCCGTGGTTAGACAAGTTAACTTTTAATTCTTTTTCACGAAAAATGTTCCTTAGCCGCGGCGCCAGTCTTAACGAAATTTCACAATTAATTCAAATTCGGCAAACGGATTCTTCAAACGCTAATAGAAAACCATAACAAGTGAAATTTATTTTAAAAAAATCATGTTTTTTATAATATTATTTTTGCAGCCAAATTTGAGCTATATTCGAAATTTCAAGTTTCCAGCTCATGGGGAAGTTAGTTTAAGGTGAAAGCGCCAGGGTAACCCGCGAAATTCAAATTTTCTTACGTTTTTTGCAATTTGTAGGTCAATGTCAGGTTGTATGTTTAATAAAATATGATTCGTGACCGTAACGAGTACGTATTTACAGAATTATAATCATTATAATCAACAATACAACCCTCTAAGATCGTATAATCCCACTGTTTGGCTATTTCCAGAAAAACTCATCCAAAGAGTGACAACGCGTCTGCATTTTGATTCTTTATTGAGGATAGATGTAGATGTCTATGGGTCACAACAACCCCTTACCATCAGGTGGACTGTGTGCTCGTTTGTCACCCGATCTTATACAAAAATACTAGATACTAGAGTAATAGTACTTCATGCGACAGAGAAGATGCTCTACAAAAACAAATATAGCTGATAGTAACTTTCTAAGCTAGATGATATTTACGGCTAAATATTAAACGTAAGTCGATAAAAAAGAGATTCTACATATTTTTTAAAGGTTATATATTATGAGATTTTATATTCTATAAAAAATATCATGAGCTAGACTAAGCCTGCTACATATGTCATTATCGACTTACTGCTGGATAGGTGTTTGGAGAGGCAAATGCGCCAAAACGGGATCGGCAGAAGGTTGATCCTGTGGTTGTTTCCGTGACGCAGCGGCCAGGCGATCTTGAAGTAGCGCCACGCGGAATAAGTACCTGGTGATAAGGTTTATTTTTATGTAATTCAATATTTAACAAAGTCATTCTTATGTTAGTTTACCATTGGTTCAGAAAATACCTATGCCTTCGGAGGAACCAGTAAGAAATCTAGCGTGCCATTATTTTGCTACCTATATTATTTATTATACCTATATAATCTTTCAAATAAAGAAGAGTTCTACACATAATTTATAATTTAAAATTAAAAATTTTGTACAGCCGACTTCAATATAAGTTATTAAGAATAACTCAAAAACTATTAGTCTGATCTTGCTCAAATTCATATGGTACCACACGAGAAGTACCAGCTTTCAAATAAAAAAGGAATCATCGAAATCGGTTCACCAAGTAAAAAGTTATGGGGTAACACACATAAAAAAAATACAGTCGAATTGAGTACCGTCTCCTTTTTGAAAGTCGGCAGAAAACAAATTATATAGCTTGGTGGCTATCGCCTTAACCGGTTATTATCAGCCATAAATTTCACAATATTAAATAATTATAATAAACCTTTTTATACTATCTTTGTTTGATTATTGTATTAAGATCGCTAATACAACTGCAAATGTGGCAATCTGGAACATATAGCAGGAAAGGCCCATGTCTCATGTCAAGGCCTTTTATGGCCGAATGAAGACGATGAAGGAGAGTTATGTGGTTAACGAAACCACTTTAACTATAACTACTTTATTCGTATTTTTTTTTCTACACCAGCGGGTCACAGTCCATTGCTGAATATGACTTCTCCCACATGATTACGCTTGACAGGCGTTCATAGTTAAGATATAAGCACCTCAGGTGTTGTTTACGTCGCCAGTCTGTGTTTTTATATCTGATATATCCATCAATTCATCCATTACATCCGAGTTAAAGTCCACTGCTGAACATAGGCTTCCCATATAGATTGCTTCATAGAGGTGATTTTGCCATGGTCGCCATTATATATACGAGATGGTTATACCGCATCTATTGGAGGACATGAGGTTTAATAGCATTTTCCATAGTTCATCTTGCAACACCTACGGGACGAATTGGGCAGTGGATTCTTTTGCGCCGCCATCACGTTGCAGTAGCTGCATTTTGCATAGTATGGTTAATAACATATACGTTTAAAAAAATATCTTGTTATTTTGTTTACTATATCTATATCTGTGCCCTACAGGCACAATTGTATGCTGGGTTGGTGGGGAATAAAACCACAGATCTTTTTCCTTGTATATTTAAAGTTTCTTCCGAGGTAGCTAGCCGCCGACTATGTTGAACGACGGAAATAGCCCCCTTTTTATACGACCTCGGCTAGGTCGACAAATACTATTTATGTATTGTCCTATCAGTGTCTATACATCACTATTTTTCACTTGTCCCGCACAATATCCCTCAGACAAACTGAGAAGGACAGACAGAACACTACAGAAATTAATGCAAGAACACGTTATCACGCACACATATGCACTAAAAACCATGGTTAACTACTTGACACGCATTTACGTACATATACGTATATCTGTCTTCTTTCTTTCTTTATCGACCGACTATCACGTATGCAACGAAAACCATGTTCATGACCATCTCGACCAAATGATTTAAGATGTATATGTGTGCGTGTTCATACAATAAGTTGACTTGAAAATGTACAGTACGTAGTGCCGTGCCTGTGTAACTTACATTGTTCGTGTGATCCATAAGAGAATTGTGTAGAGTAGGTATTTTCAAAAATGCTATCTGTTTCATACCGCTCGCCCCGTATCGTGCGATAGAAAGAGTTGCAAGGCTTGGGGGCAATTGCCTGCATTTCCTTTTTGTAATATTGTTTTGGGCGATAACGTTTTCAACTCCCATATGTTGTCTCATTAGATGCAGTATACCTTAATCTAGGTCTATACGTTTTTCTTTTTTATCAATTCAGTTTAGTTTGATGAAAAAAAAAAACGCTTGAGGAAGTTTTTAAGTCAAAAATATAGATATTTAGATGCTAATAACTTATATCTTACGCAATATTTCTTTAATATAAAAACGTACGGACCTAGTTTTTCATTATATCTAGAACATTTCCAAAAATTACGAAAATGAGACTATGTTTACGACGGGAAAACCGATATCGATTTTTGTATAAAAATTTACAGTTTCACAATCCTCTTAAAATTTTCGTAAACAATTTAATCATAAAAAATACCAATGACTAAATTAATATTAATTGTTTGTTCATAATTATATGAAATCAGAATAATGAGATTATATTTTTTAGTAATCCTACCTCTCCCAAAACTCGTCATGTGATACAGCATCTGGCACCAATTTTTCATACTGCCCTTTCAAAATGGGATTCGATTCGAGCCTTTTTATTGCCGAAGAGGGTGTTATGACCCCAGCCTCCGTATTCTCGAGGCTGGCGCGCCAGGCCTCGAACTCTGGACTGTACGCGGGCACTATGTAAGTAGCATCAACTCGCTGGAGGGCTTCTAGCTCCTTCTATAATAGAAACAATGAAGTTATTAAAGTTAAAATTATAGTTATAGAATTATAATTACAGAAGCGTCAGTAGCCTAATGGCAGGGCGCGGACCGCGAACTCGAAAGGTCGTAGGTTCGAACCCGCCATTCGACTACTGTCGTGAACCACTTCTAACACAAGCATTTTAAACTTACCAGAAGTGGTTAAAGGGAATATTATTAACGTTCAATAGCATTACTAGTATTTAGAAAAAAATAAAAATAAAAAAAATATTTACACACTTAATACTTCGCAACAGTAAATTAAAAAAAAAACTGCTTAAATACTTCACTCTAAGAGGGTTATGACATTTTTCTCTCAATTTCTAGGACCTGTAGAATTTCTTGCGATGTTTATCCTTTACTGCTGGCAAGTGTTCTATTGGCAATGGAAGTCGTAGTTAATACACTGGTCGCCTCAAACTCTGCTTACGAGGCTACCCAACGGTCCTTCCTCAACGGTGGTCGATTCTGCTAGATATGTCAGGCCCATATAGGCCACTTCAGCTTATATATCATCACCAATAGATTGTCTCGTCATAAGAGGATATTTGTCATAGCTGCCACGCTTGACATGCGGACTGGCAACTTAGGACACCCACGGGATGATATGGGGTAGTGGATTCTTTTACGCCGTCTATATTGACCACGGACAAAATACAAAGAGAAGACGGCCTAAGCAACTGTGCACTGTGATTCTAACTAGGTCCTGACGTCATCTCAATGGGCGTGGCTTTAGTTAGTATACTGTCAGCGTTCATCCTGTGCGCTTATCTGTCGAAAATAGCAAATCGGTGTATTTTTGTAGTATTAAGAAGAAAAGGATGAAGTGTTGTGTTTTATCGTGTAAAAACTACTCAGATGCTATGGATGGCATCACCTGATATAATTAAATATATTCGACACTAAATGGCGACACTTTGTGTCATGGGAACTAAAAATATAAAGGTACGTAGAGCTCAGTATTGGTAAAATAATCATACGAAGGCGCTGAAATTTGTTTTGCATTCAGTCCTTTATTTTTATAGTTTTTATAATCATTTTGTAAACAGGCCGCCATCTATCGTCAAGGTAGCTAAACTACATTGCAATATCGATGTGGAACTTTTTACTATTTATTTTTGAGTTTTACTATTTATCGGTAGCAAAGGAAATAAAATAATATCATTTTTATAGCATTAGTAGTCATTAAAACAGATAAAAAAATAAGGGGCCAGAACACTGCCTTGTGGTTCACAATATCTAACTAGCCTTTTTTTTAGTTATTATAAGCCAGTGCTTGACCACAATCCCACCTGGTGGTAAATGGTGATGCAGCCTTAGATGGTAAATCGCCTTATCGTAACAAAAGCCTATTCACTCTTGCCTTGAAGACGCCTAGATTGTATTCGGACGGAAAGATAGACGCCGGCAAATTATTTCACTCCTTTGCTGTACGCATTACAAAAGCAAACCGTTTGGTTCTAATGCGTGGAATATCGACAACAAAGGGATGAAGACCCGCCGACCGTCTAGTTGTCCGATGGTGGAAAGGAGAGGGAGGAATTAAGGCGTATAATTCCTGAGAACACTCACCGAAATGCATCCTATAGAATACCGAGAGACTGGCTACTCTGCGTCTGTGCTCGAGGCTGACAAGATTGGTTTCAACCAAATCAAGGTCACCAATGAGCCTCTTAGCACGTCTCTCCACTGAGTCCAATGCTGCCAGGTGGCATTTTGCAGCACCAGCCCATATGTGACAGCAGTGCACCATGCACGACCGGACTTGCGCTTTATATAAGGTAAGAAGGTGCCCCGGCGTGAAGTACCGCCGCACCCTTGCAAGGACACCAAGTTTCCTTACGGCTGCTTTGACTCTGGACTCAATGAACCGCCCATAGTTTAGGTTGGGAGAAAATTCAATCCCTAACAACTGAAGGCGGCAGGCTACTTTCAGATGTAAATATCTTTTTCGTTTTATGTTGAAATGAAATTTTACTTAGATGTGTTATTTGCATTCTATTAGATGCAGGTACGAGCTCATTAGTTTTAGTGTGTTTCCTCTTATACCATATGTCTCCATTTTTCCCAATAAAATATTATACATTGGATAATTAATTCACTATAAATTGATTTATATATCCTAGAATTTACCATTATGTTTAATTTTGATTAACTTAAATGGTTTAGCTATGTAATTTTATTTTATATTTAATAATTAAATAATGCACTATAATTATTGTTTGATCTTTTCGATATTATTTAATTCGATTTATCGTCCATAATTTAACCGAATTTATTATAGCTAATCTAAATGTTTGTTGAATTAATTATGTTATCTTCAAGGAATGGACAGTTTTGTGAATTAATTTTGGAATATTTTTAATTTTATGTAACTAATTCTTTTTATTTTGGGGGAAATAAAGGCTTAAATAATAATAATAAATAATTATTTATATTCACAGTCCCGCCCCGATTCCTTTTGATTAGTGTGAATCATCTTGCGATAGACGTTTTCGATTCCGTCATTGCGTGCAACAGAAAAGGACGGAAGATAAGGAAGGAAAGGAATACCAATCATAAGAACGGGGTTAGTTTTTGAGTAACGCCACTCAAAAGTCCGTATTTGATTTGGCAATCAATCTCGAGAAATTCCACAATGAAATTTTTTTGTCTATGGTAAATAGACAATGTTACACAAAATTTGAATTTTATTGTGATTGTCTCTGAATATGGGCTAAAAGCAACTTAACTCCGATAGTCTTATTACAAAAAATGGTTTAGACTATCAGTCTTTGGTTTGAAGTATGGTTTAAGAAGAGTTCTTCTAACGAAAGAAGTCCTTTAGCCGCAGCGCCACTGTCTCCGCGGAATTTCACATTTTTCTGTTAAACTCCATACTTCACATTTTAGTTTGCATATTTCATTCAGAAACAGATTCTAGTTTAAACCTAAAAGTAAATATAAAGCACTTGTAATAAGGCCGAATGTGAAGATCGGCCTGTTTACATTCTTTATCTAGTCTCGTTGGCTTTACTTGAGATAAACTTACTTTGTATGTGGACAACATTGTTGTATCTCCCGATGACAAGATAACTTCAGTATCATCTTCGTCGTCAGGCTCCGGGTTCAAAACGGTGCTTACTTGACCTAGAAGAGTTGTATAGCTTTAGTCTTTTGAAGAATCTAGATAAAATCAATTATTACAAAATCTTTTTCTAATCTTTTTTTCTGTCGTGTGGTTGAGGCAAAGAGAAGCCACTATACCAAATCATCCCGTGGCTGTAGTAAGAGGCAACAGAGGGTAATGAAAACGGGATAATGGGCACCAGCATTGTTTTTTTATAGGTCAAGGTTGACAAACGAGCACATAGTTTACCTGATGGTAAGTGTATGCTTTGGCTCACAGGCATTTACATCTATCCTCTGGAAAGTTCTCTATACTGACTATACGAAATTCAACAAAATATAGTAGGGTGTCAAGCAAACACTGTGTCTCTAAGACTATGGTACCAGTGGCGCTATGCTACCAGTGGTAGGAGAACCACCAGTGGTCGGGCATCAGAACTAAATAAATAGTCCAGTGCTGGACCACTCCCAGTCCCCTAGTCAGGATGACTTAAGCGTTAAATAAGAGATAGTTAGGCTGCGTTTCCACCAGAGATGTGCGAGGATGCGTAGCGAGGGATGTGTTTGTTAAGAATCACTTCATTTAGCTCTGGTGGGAACGGCTCAGCGGAGCGAGATTTTTGTATATACAAAACAATGGAAGGGTGTGTGCGAGGGAAGTGTTGCGGAGAATGTGTGCGAGGGATGTGTGCTAGAGGGAAAGACGCAAAAAGCAGCGGGCATTGGCGCACGCACTCCGCTCCCATCACACCTCACCCCGCTCGCATCGGAAACGAACCCGTTACCTACACATCCTCGCATCGCTAATCTGCGCACTGTTTCACAGCGTCGCTACGCATCCTCGCAGCGCCCAGCTACCTCGCATTTCACTGGTGGAAACCCAGCCAATATTCGATACCCGAGGCTATCATATCTACCGCGCACTTTCTAAAGTTGCCTCTTATGACTCCCACAGTACGGAATGCAATGGTGGATCCTATTATGCGACATCACTTGGCTTACAAAATACATATTAAATAAAAAATATGGCAAAGATAAGTGCTTGCTCTCATCTATAAAAAACACGTTTATCTTATCGTAATTTATTTACAATTTTATCTAAATCTCAATTGCTAGTAACTATAGGTTATATAAATAGTAACCTAGTTTATTTAAGTAGTTGAGAATTGCAAAACATTTAGTCGTCATCCAGGCACCATTTTAGGTTATAAATCAAATATTTCCCATCTAATAAAAAATAGAAGAAGATGCAGTAAATATAAACCTAGGTCCGGTATTTAGAGACGCCATCGAGTTTAAACAGGTCAAAATTTGAGTCTGGGCCATATTACACAAATTAGGGGGGACATCATTCGTCATCAGACTTTCAACTTTCAGTCTAATGTTGGTCGCCGGGGAGTCATACAGTAATCGTCGTGCTTGGAAGATATATTACGTATAGCTGAAGCACGGTCGCAGAACAGGAACATTTTTTATTGCTTTGCATTTTCAAACTTAATTCCCATCATAAAAAGTTTTATTTCTATTGCAGCTAAGATAGTTTTAGGACCTTTTGAACAGTATTTATGATTCGAAAACAGATTTTATTCTCATTTTATTAAAGTTCACATTTGTATGAATTGAAATAATTTGAAATTCTTCCTGCTCCCCGATCACGCCATAGCAATAACTATGCTCTCCGGTATGTCTCGATATTTATAGTCTAGTTATTAAAGATGTTAAAAAATAAATTAGCTAATATCCGCGTAATAGAATAAAATGATGTTTCTTACCTAGTTTGAAAAGTATCACCCGCCCTCCCTCAATTGTGTGCACTATCCCGTCACTCTTTCTATGTCTGTCTGGTACACCCGTCACCACTAATCCCAACATTACTACACTAGGAAAGACACACCATCGTCGATAATAGGACACGTGTTTCGCCTCTTAAACGTGGCGTCCTCAGGTGATATAGACTCTGCGGTGGCTGACCGCGAAGTCTTAGTGGTGACGGGGATAATGCACTCAATTGAGGGAGGGCGTGTTGCTCTTCAAACTAGTTTAGACACATAAGTTTCCGCAAAGTAACGCCTGATTCTATCAATGGTCTCGTAATTTTTAGCCCATAGACATCTACATTTATCTTCGATTAAGAATCAAAATGCAGATGCATTAAATACAGATGACTAAAATGGAATGACTCGTTTCCAGTAAAAAGGTTCTCCGGTTCTCTACACTCACCATACGAAACACTGCAGCATTAAACTGCTATTTTACGCTGATATTCTGTTAGAGCGTGGTCCTACCCCGGTCGAGCCGACCTGTATAGGTCCGACCGGGGAAAGCTATATTAAGGTTTTAGCACGAATGTGCTAGTAATTTTTTAACAGTATAGAGGAGATATCGTCACAACCATACGAAACACAGGATAATTACCTTATTTTACGTTTAGTATTTAGTGCGAATCGGTCCTTCGCTGATTGGATTGACCAGTAATTAAAGTAAAAATGATCAATGATAATAATAATGCATTTCAATGTAGTATACTCACACCCCCAAATACTTATATAATTTGTAGTATTTCGCTTGTATCGGACGGCATGAGTAAATTAGTACTTATTTATTTTGTGGCATAAGGTTTAACTGTGGTTTCGATTAGTCGTTTTCTACGATACCGGTTCACAAATAGGGTTATCAAGTGTCATCACTCATCAGTAAGCGATAGAGAAATAATAAATAATAGAACGAAGCATTTTTTTATCTATCACTTCTAGTAATAGTATCAATATTTGTTTTTTTTTTCTGGAAATGAGTTTCTTTTTCTTCTTCTTTGCAAAGAACATGCAATAATAAAACCCAGCTTAGCTTAACAAAATAATTCTCTTATATTTAGAATACCAAATAGTTAAAATGTAACGTTGACTCAATTAAGTCTGTGTTATCCGTCCGTCAACCTGTTGTGGCAGCCATGGTATATAGCCTAAAGCAGTTTCTTACGATTTAACGGTTTAAAATGATTACTTACCAATGAACGTGCTAAAACTTTTTTTCATAACATTCGCTGGAGACTCTGGTACGTCGAGCTGTAGGGAGAAAAGGTATTATGAATTAAAGATAAATAGACAACATGTGGTAAAATAAAAAAAATTATACAACCGACTTCAATATAAATAAAATGAGAATGTCATCAATGTAATCGAAGTCAATTTAATACGCATTATTAAGGATAACTCAAAAACTACTGGTCAGATCTTTGATCTAATTAATATGGGACCACATGAGAAGCACCAGCTTTCGAAGAATCATCAAAATCAAAGTTCTGAACACAGCTTAAGAAGAACATACAGTCGTCAGCCATCGCGTTTGATGCTGTCGGAAAAGCCGACATAAACAATAAATTACTAGGGTTGTCAGAATGGCAAGTAATAAAAAATAAATTAAAAAAAACTGATCTTATTTTATTTCACTTTTAAACAAATTAATGTGTATGTAAAAACTGATGAAACTAATTCCTTGTCTTTAAATGAGAACGAACCACAGATTTTACCACACATGTAGTGTGAACCATTTTAATTTATTTGTGTGACAGGACAAGCCTCCCTGACAGTTCCCGAGCGGCTAGGGAATGCTCAGCCCGCTTCCCGCACCGCACGTTTGCCCTGTCTAGACGCCTTCGATGACCGACTGTTAGTAGTAGTGAGACTGTGGTTCTGAGGTAACACACATAAAAAAATACAGTCGACTTGAGAACCTCCTCCTGATTTTGATGTCAGTTAAAAATAAAGTCAAAGGAAAAAAAACTCAAAAATGTTAATGCGCATACGTAAAACACACTGTAGGCAGTGTGGTTGCGGCGAAAGTGAAGCGATGGTTTCCCATTAGTACCGCGGATATAAAGACTTCTATGTGTATGTCACAGTCAAACTCATAACCGGTCAAAACCACTTATAACTGCAAAAATCAGGCATTAATGGTTTTGGCCGATGCTCTTAGTCAAAAACAGTTTTGACTGACTTTTATAGTCAAAAGTGGTTATAACCAACGTTCTTAGTCAAAAATGGTGTTGTCTCATTTAAACTCCAGACTATCGGTCAAACCTCGCAATATCAGTAACAGTAGGTTAAGGTGCGGTTGGGAAGGCTCCTGGGCCACCCTAAAGCCAACAACATTATAATGATATAAAATATAATATTAAAGAAATTGAACTTTTTAATTTCTAAAATTCAAAAAGTATAAGTCAAAAGAAGTTTTGACTAACATTGTTGGCCAAGACCATTTTTATCCGATGTAATTTGGTCAAAATCACAAGTATAAGTATGTTAGAACACAAGTATTTTTGCAGTTAAAAGTGGATTTGATCAATGGCCTTAGTCAAAACTACTTTTGACTGCAAAAACCAGTTATTAAGTATTTTTCGCAGTATTTTTTGTGTATTTTATATTGTTTTGTAATTTTAATATAGATATAAGCGATTTGGTTATATATATATATATATATATATATATATATATATATATATATATATATTTATAGGCGGGTTGCTGGCACGGTAAATAGGCCACGCAGTTGTATTTTCATTTACGACAATTACCATTACCATTTTTAAGCAATACGAAATAAAGTTAAATACTTATATCTGAAATAAACTTCAAATCATGTTGATACATTAAACAAAATCAGTGTTAATCGAAAAATCTTACTAATCTAATCATCTACAAACAAATTTGTAGGATTCAGACATAATTCTTGCGGTATGCAAACGAGCGTAAGTCGATAGAATAGAGTGATGAAGTTTTGATAAAACCTCAGTAAATAGTATCTATAAATACAATAAATCTCCAAATTTCTCAAGACACTTTGGTTACCTTTAAAGATATTTCAAGAAGCTAAAACTTTACATACTTAAACACCTAGAGTTATGTTACCGATACTTAAATAATATTAAATTATACTCATATATACCTTAAAGGTCTTTCCTAGCGCATTGGAGGTAGAACTGAAAACATGGCTCGCTTCACACTTGACCGCTGTGCCGATTTCGTCCAAGTCCTTCTTCACCATCGTGTATACTTCTGCGGACTGGATAAAAATATGAATATTAAATAGAAAAAATATTTAAAACATTAAAAAGATAAAAATAGAAAGAGGCGATACATGTATTGTGTGACAGAGATCGCGGGAAGATGTAGACAATTAAATTAGACATACGTTACAGGTTTTAGTGTAATTTCGGGCAAAATTTTAGCTTAATGTGACTGTATAAATAACAATAACAGTTTAATTAGATTCATAAGCCATTATTAGCATTTTTAATAAAGAAAAATCCGAAATATCATAATTAGCGCAAGTTAGTATATTAAATGTATTTTCGGAATGATATAATAACAATTTATTACTTTATTGACCTGTATGTAGGCAATGGGCCGGCTATATAACTCAAAGAAGCGATAACCGATGAGGAAGAAAGCTTTTCGAGCACCGATAAAAGAAGTGTAGGGCAGCTTTCACAAGATCGTTTGACGACCTAGTAAGTGGTAAGACATGCAGGAAGTCGATGGATGAATTTTACAGATTTTGCAGAGGTGTCATTTTTAACCTATTTTAATGGCTGTGTTTTTAAATAGATGTCGGTAATAAGTATGTCTGCTTAGTTAATATTTAAAAAAATTCACATTGAACATTACGTTGCATACAATGTAATCGAAAACGAGCTATCCTGATACTCATTAATACGTTACTTCCTATTGTTCCTATGAATGTAATGTGTGCTCAAAGTTTCTAACAAACAACCGTAAATAGAAGTCGTGTCGTGATATTTTTGTATTAGATTAAAAATATATCATTCTGTTTGTTCCGGTATAGTTAAGTAACGTGCACTTAGATTGATTAATCGACGTGGTCGTACGTATGATGTTTTACATTGCATGATTTCCTAAATTATAAAACCTGTGGGAGAGTATCTGCTACATGATCACCTTAATATTAATAAACTAATAAATAATTAATTAGCTTTCTTTCAGGCCTAAAATGGACACAGTTATTTTTAGAATAAGTTTACAAACGAGCACACAGTCCACCTTGATAGTAAATGGATGATGTACCCCATATACATTTACATCTATCCTCAACTAAAAATCAAAATGCAGATGCGTTGTCAACCTTATGGAGTAAATAGTATGGCCTTTACAATCCTAAGCGAGCGCTTAATAACTACTATCCCATCAGATGGTAAGTGGTGATGCAGCCGAAAATGGTGAAGCGCACTGACTAAAAAGAGCCTATTCACTCTTGCCTTAAAAACAACCACATTGTAATCGGATGGAAAGTCAGATGCTGGTAGTTTATTCCATTCACGATGTAAGAAACTGTTTGGTTCAAATGCGTGGTAAGTCGACAACAAAGGAGTGGAGACTCGCAGAGCGTCTAACCTGCGTTTTCAGTAAAAAACGGTCGCGTCGCCGTCACGACGTCTAACGTATAAAAATTCGTAACATGACCCATTGAAGTTAATACATATGTAGTACGCACTAGAAGAAACGCCGAGACTTTGTCGTTTTTAACACGCATTAGAGCCCACACAAACTTACTTAGTCTGTGCTATAAAAAGTAGTCTGTGGCTCCTTCCACGGCCAGGCACTGCTGCACAGATGTTTTCGCGGTGACTTTTGTATCAGTAGCGGCACGAAAGTCTAGCGGTGACCGTTATTGCGCATAAGTCGAAAATAAGGTATGATGGGGTAGTAAGCGGGTTGCGGGGCGGTCGTGTGTCGTTCGTATGCGCTGATTGGCTCGTGCGTATAGTTCGCACGCGCTGATTTGCTCTCCAATCGCATTCATGCATTTACATTCGTGCGCGTCAGTACCAATGCGCAGCTATTCCCTCCACGTTTCGTTCAGCGCTAGACTTAGGTGCCACGTGGCAACTATTTTAAAAGTTTATAAATAATCCACGTTTATAAAGCAACGTAAAATATTAATTTCTTATTTTACGTAATAATTAAAACGCGATAAAGTCCGTAAAATATGTTTTATTCAACGCAACGTCAAAGTCCACTTGGTTAACAATATAAATTTCAACAAAATGTTGGATTGGACTGGAAAACGTGATACAAACAATTTTAATTTCTCTATATAGGAAGATGTTACCCCCACACTAGCATTTCTCGCTCATACTAGAGGCAGTTTACATATGTAAATTACACAAGGACAAATATCCAGACCTAGAACAATTGCTTATAGGCCATACAAATACTTGTTCTGTGCGGAACCCGTAGCCCTCAGCGCCGAACTCATTGCTAAGTCACTGCGCCACCGCCACGGAGCCGTCAATTAGATGTTATGTTGATTTTTATGTGTGTTCATTACTTTATACACAATATATAACAGTGCTGTAAGTACTTTAAATAATTAATTAATAAATGCATTAAGTATACTTGTGTACATCAAATAGTTTTGATTTTAGCTAGCTGTAATATTCAATGTAATATCTGTGCAATAAGATTAGAGATATATATGTATTTGGTGTAGAAACCTAATGGACGCCATACACGATCCAGTTTACCGTCAAGTTTGCAGAGCGCTAGAAGCGGCGTCCGGTTAACTTGACGGTGTATAGTTATCAGTGTGCACGACAAGTCTACTTGAAACAAAAATTGAATTTCGATTCTGCCGACTTGATCAAGTTTGCAGCGTCATGTACACTTGAACGTGTGTATGAGCGGTCAAGTATGCATGACGTTAGTCGGAGCAATAACGGATGCCATACACGACCCAGTTTACCGTCAAGTTTGCAGCGCGCTTGAAAAGGCGTCCAGTTTGCAGTGCATCCATATAGACCACACACGTTCAAACTGGACGCGGCTTTAAACTGGATCGTATATGGCATCCATAATTTGTGGATTTCATCCTCATTGGTTTTGTCTGAATTTCAAACCTAAGAATTATGATTTGGTATGCTGATACTTTGTGTACTAAGCTAAAAAGTCGTATAATTAATATATGTGTAGTAGTTCTGTAACAGTGGAAACAAGATAAGTTAAAAATTATTACATAAAACAACCTATTATTAGGGAGCGATCGATATTACTTATCAGGCATATACTTACTACCATAATACAGGTAAGAATTATCTTGCTATAACAAATAGGTGTGACATTCATTTATCTATCGATATGAATACACGATTATAAAACTGATAATATCGCATAACATGACTTTCAATAGGCCTATTTCAACCGAAAACATTTGAAAGTTTTGAACAGCGTATGTGGTAGTCCCGCCGAAGCGTATTATGGGTGCAGAATCAATGTGTCCACATAATAGGGAAAGGACTACATAATGCTGCAGTGTTTCGTATGGTGAGTGACGAGCACCGGAGACCCTTTTTCCTGGTAACGATGCATTTCATCTTAGTCCTCATAGGTGATACCCCACGTGGCTATAGGCGCTGTATCCAGAGGGCAACCGACCACAATTTTCTTTATAACGATACTTTCCTTCCTTTCTCACAGAGCAGGAGACATGACAGTCACGTCACGTCACTGTCACGCGATCTGACGATTGCGCAAATAAATTCAGGGCCGATGTGGTCCGAAGTTGGACTGTGCTACCGCCACTATTTCATTACGTCTTCGCGATACAACGCTCGTACTTAAAATATTATCAAAGATAAATGTAGTTTTATTCCACACATCACACTCAATCTAGCTTGAAAACGTCATGTACTATCCTTAGGTTGGGATTTAACTTTCCTTAGGAGGGTTCCATTTTCTTTTTATCGCCTTGTTTAGAAATGTAAGTAATTTCTTTATTAATGCTAAAGTTTACGGTAGTTTTTTTCTGTAGTTTTTTTTTTGCTTTGTAAATTATATCCTTTTTTATTTAACTAAAAATCAGATGAACTAAGATTAAATATATAGGATACATTATAAAAATAGTGTTTTTTCTAAACTGTTACACATTATAGAGTTCAGCAAAAACACCATTTTAAAACATGGATAAGAAGAACATTATTCTACGAAGATTCTAAGCTAATTTGAAGTAAGAATAATCAATTACGTTATTAGCTTGTGCCTTGACCTAAATCTTATTACTATAAAATAAAGTCGATTTTTCTTTGCATTGGCAATTCAGAAGCACCCAACTCTCAGTATGTGTAACTAATCAAAGGTTATAGGTATTACTATAACATTGTATATTGAATATTTTTAACGTGATAAAGCCTTGTATAGTTAGCCTTCACGGAATACCATAGTAAACTAGCAGCTTAATGCTGCTGTGTTCCGGATGTTGAGTGTAGAGAACTGGAGACACTTTTTACTGGTAGTGAAGCATTCTATCTTAGACCTCAGGGGTCTACTGCATCTACATTTCAATTTTAAATCAAGAATAGATGTAGTGTCTATGGGCAACAGCATCCACTTACTATAGGACTAGGTGCTCATTTGTCACCGTTATACTAAAAAAAAACTTTAATATACCCACATTCATTTTAACACTGCCCACATTTCTACAGAATCAATACCTTTCTTTTCATGTCTTGGTTTCATTTTGTATAAAAACGGACAATCAGACTATTAAATTATTATTATTAGAACCTCGGATATTTGAAAAAAAAATGATGCAAGTAATTTTATTATAATCAAATTAACCACTGTATCTTGCAAATAGTTAGTTACTTGAAAATTTAGCTTACCTTCGTTTTGGCTGATGATAGCCATGAGTCCCACCAATTTCCAGATGATTTATCTTCTTGTAAGGGTGTACTTGCTCCCTCGTTGGGATTTGTTTCGCACCTAAATCAAATAATGTTTTATCAATTTATGTATTACTATAAGAAAACTCTGGTATTTTTTTGTTGTTGTTATAATTACAAAATTAACTTAACACTCAACAGTTGAATACAAATCTCACTGTTGAGGCAGATGGGTTGCGATTTTTTTAAATTAATTCTATTCTCTTTTCTTATTTTCTTCTATCAAGACACGGATGAACCAGTTTAAGCTACTTTTAACTCTACTATAACTCTTTTGGTAGAGCCAAGCTGCAGCTATATTTTTGGTATAATTGTAACACGAATGGGTCGGTTCGACCAGAGAAGGACCACACTCTCACAGAATATCAGCGTAAAATAGCAGCTTAACACTGATGTGTTTCGTATGGTGAGTGTAGAGAACCGGAGACCCTTTTTACTGGAAAAGAGGCATTCCATCTTAGTCCTCACGGGTGACAACGCATCTGCATTTTGATTCGTAATCGAGGATAAATGTAGATGTCTATGGGCCACAGCAGCCACTTACCATCAGGTGGACTGTGTGCTCGTTTGTCACCCTATCCCATAAAAAAAAGATGGGTTGTGATTTTTTTAAATCATTGCTTTGCTTTATTAAGACACAGATGAACAAGTTTAAGCTACTTTTAACTCTACTATAACTCAAAGCTATTAGCCCTACACGCTTGTAATTTTGCATGTCTAATAAGGCTCCCACAAACCTATTATAGTTATTGAGTTATTAAGTGCCATTCTTATCACTCCCTGACTCACTCATCATCAAAAAACTAGGCCATTTCTAGGTGACTAAGAGATTGTGCCAGTGACACATAAACATAAGAAAAATTTTAAAGGTCATGTTCTTATTTAAGATTAACAACCAACGACAATCAAGATTCTCATCTTTGTTGATAAAACAGTTCTAACCATAATCAATAATAAGTGAAAAAATGATCATTGGATCAAAATCACTAACACCTGTGTATAAAACTAGGAATATACTTGAATGCCATTTAGGATCATGATGTAAAAAAGAAGTCTAACAGAATACGAAATACAACTAAGAAACATAAGAACAAATGATTTTTAGATAGATATACTGTAAAGAAGTTTAAAGGAAGATGGATCGTATATACAATCAGAGGGAAAAACAAGGTAGATCATATGGATTAGTGGAGACAGTAGGAGACCTTTGTCAATGCAAAACAGTGAAGTATTTTCTTAGTTTGGTAAATACCAATGAATCCTGCTGACACTGGCGGTATTTCATATAATTTAAAATTACAAATTTTATACAATCAACTTCAATATAAACTATTAAGAATAACTCAAAAACTATTGGCCAGAACTTGATCAAATTTGTATGGGACCACATGTGAAGCAGCAGCTTTCAAATAAAAAAGAATCATCGAAATCAGTTCACCCAATAAAAATTTATATGGTAACACACATTAAAAAAAAACACAGTTGAATTGAGTACTGGTTCCTTTTTGAAGTCGGTAGAAAAGTCACACAAGAGTTGTTAAGGAGTTGTTATGTCATGTAAAACTGAATCTATTAACTATAATAGTAATTGTTATATGATATTGATAAAGGGCTATCATTATTATTATTCAAGAAATGAACAGGGTAAAAATTGTAATAACATCTGAATTCATTTGTTATTTTTAAAGAAGCAGTGTGTAACTACCATACAATATGTTCGATGACACAAATATTTTACAAGTTTTGCTTTATTTAATTAACTTTCTTATATTCCCAATGTTTCAAATAATTGTAATCATTTGAATACCAGACAGTAAATTCATCATTTATTATTCATTACAGTACTGCTGATTAATGTGCCTTTCCATAGATTCCCTCATAAAGAGGATATTTGCCATTGTCACTTTTGACAGGCAGGTTAGCCACCTCAGTTTTCTACCAACTTTAAAAAGGAGGAGGTACTCAATTAGACTGTATGTTTTTTTTTATGTCTTACCTCATAACTTCTTTCTGGATGAACCAATTTTGATGATTTTTTTTTATTTGGAAGCTGGTGCTTCTCATATGGTCCCTTACAAATTTGATCAAGGTCTGACAAATAGTTTTTGAGTTATTCTTAATAATTTATATTGAAGTCGGTTGTGCAAAATTTTAAATTATTGTTCTCTAGTTGTTAATAGTAAGATACTATTGCCTATCAACTTTTTTGGTTCTTTGTTGTCCCTTACGATACCTACGGTACAATATGGGGTAGTGAATATTCTTACATCACCACTAGATAGTCTAAAATGTAAATAATACAAGTATATTTCAAATGTGAAATACAAAGTTGTGTTTTTAATATTTAAATCTATTCAATAATAATAGATATTAAAACTTTATACAAAACCAAGTGTGTAGAAAATTTACACATTTTTATTCAATATAAATTTTGCAACCATTTTGAAAACTGATTATTAACTGCCTAAAGACTGTCTTGACACCGGTAGAATTCTATCAAGAGAAGCCATAATTTAAAAGAAGAACTTCCTAAAGTCAAAAGTAAAACAATAATTGGAAAAACTAAGTTTTGGGGTAGAAAGAGTCAAAACAAGCATTGGGGCAGACTTCATGTGTCCTTGAAATTTATATGATCACAGTTCACAGCCTTAGCTCTAAAGCAATACTTGTGTGAAGCTTGAATTTGATAATTTAAATCACTTATCTGAGGTTATTCATTCTTAATAAAGTATTGTTCAAATTACTTACTAATGAAGAACTTAAAAAACTATATGAAAGTGGTACAAACATCTTGCTGAATGCATATTTTTAGTCTTATTAAATTAAATTATTTTAGTATTAATGCTACTCATGCTATCTTGTTAATTTAATTATTGATGTCAAAAAATTTAATTCCAAGTAAGAACAGTATTTTGGAATGAATACACGAAAACTTTTTAACAAAGGTATAATATTAGCCATTGCCTCGATCGTATCGTAACTTTCTTATATAGTACTTAAATTAAATATGTACTACTTATTATTTTAAGCATCACGCCTGTAAAACAGGAGAAGATTCTTGTGAATGTTTCTATGGTTCTGAGACAAATAAAAACTAGATCCATTAACGATTAAGCTTTCAGGAGTGTTGTTATTTATTTTCCTAACTGTTCATTTCATGGTGTGCTAACATCAACAAACACAAAACAAAGATAAAAGATAAGACTTACTTTTCAGCCATCACGTCAATTTTACTCTAAACAACGCTGTAAACGTAGAACATGAATTTTTGCACTTATACTATGTAATGCGTAAATATTTTTGATAATACACAAAATTTAGAATTAATTTTGACTTGACATAGTTTTGTTTGCGTTGACATAAGGTTTATTCTCATTCGCATTTGTTTTTTTATTAAGATGGATGCTTGTTCTTTAAGCCATGTTTTCATTGTATATCACGGAATATAAAAAAAGTTGTTTTGTATATTCCGTGCCTATTACGCTACCTTGAGTCAGGGCTGTGAATTTATAGGTATTACACTGCACTGACTTTACGCGCTTATTCAGTCATAGGGAAATAACCCCCTCATCTATCCCGCATTTCCAACGCATTTCCCTTTATAGGAGTGATGGGTGATGACATGAACATATATAATTGATATAACATATATAAATGATAATAACCCCTGGGTATGAGGTGGGCGCTTCCAAGCAATTTCTAAAATAAATTTTGTAAATAGTTCGTAATCATTTATATTGTAAAATTTATTTAAAAAAAAAATCCCACTGGGTTTCTTGCTGATTCTTCCCAGGACAGAGAGTTTTTTTTCGAATCAGTGGTAAAGTAAAAAATGACTTTCAATAAGAATTACACATGTAATGTATATTGAGTAAAAAAATACTCAATATACTGTTTTTAGATAATAAATATGGGGTTTCTTCTCCAGTTTATCTTAGCTAAACGTAGTGATTATATTCTCTATGGTCTTAGCATCAAATTAGAGTCTTTATTTACGCATATTTTAGCGAATAATTATTTTTTCTTAATATTGTTCAAAGTAGTACATAATATTAAATATGATTCATCACAGGTACGGCATATAACTTTTGCATCGTGTGTTTAATACGTACGTTCATATGTTCATATCACAGACATAGTATTAACAAATACGTACTCATTGATTATTAAAACACTATAGAGCAACACGAGCCATCGGTGAACCGGAGGAGGATAGCTATTCCATTAAGGCCTTAACAGTGGTTGAAATGAATAAATCTAGGATATTTAAGTAAAAAAATCTCAATAACTGTTCATTTAATCCACAAAGAAAAAATACAGGGTAACAGAAGAGGATTTGGTAAATGTTTTTAATTTAACAAAATTGTATTTTTGTCAACCCCTTATTAGAAAAAAAATCCCCAAAGAGTACCTATCTTTGTCATATTTTGCAAAATTTCTCCAAAATAGCACAAGCTTTTTAAATAGTTCTTACACTAAAAAAAAGGTCTTAAAAATATTAATATTTTTAATTGAGAGTTTTATTTTTATTACCCGTTTTATAAGAGAATATATCATTTTTCCCTGAAATTGAATATATTTACTCGAACGCGCATGCTCCGTCGCCATGTAAGCTCTGTCACAGTCCGTTTTCGGACATCGTCGAGGGTGGACCACACGTCGGTATTGGAGCGACTTCGTTCAAATATATATTAGTTTTTATATTTATTTTTTAAGTTTATACTCATTTATAAATATTTTTATGACTAGAAATACTTAATTTAGTTAATATCTGTACACTGGTAACTGTAAATATTATTTTCTAAATAAATGAATTTTTAAAGTGCCCAAAGAAGAAGAAATTTTCGCGGCGACGTTGATTAGTGAAATTGAAAAATGCATATTTATATAATTTAGATGTGGAACGACGAACATGCACTCGTTACTTAGATTTCGATAGTTTTTAATACCTATGTAATTTTATTGTTGCATATTTTTATTAATTAGTTGATACTGAATTTGATAATTATGTATTACAATAAAACGCTGTTTTTATGAGTATGACTTTATAAAATATTGTTGGGGAGGGAAATATAGATACAGATACTTACATTTAGGCACACTGTTATCAAATTAAATCAAACAATTGAAATAAATAATAAAAATGGTGCTTTCCTAAGTATAAATAACTATATAAAGACATTCTTGGGTTTATGGTTTTTTTTATGTTAGACAAACTATCATCTAAAAATGTAAACATTTTTAATTGGAGAGGGGTTTCTCTACGTGATAAAGTAAGAAATGAAGATATTCGCAGTAGAACCAGAGTAACCGACATAGCCCAACGGAATATTAAAGTGAAATGGCAATGGGCTGGCTATATAACTTGGAAAACCGATAAAAAATAAGAAGAAAGGTTCTCGAATGGCAACCTCGTATAGGTAAGCGCACACACACACACACACACACACACACACACACACACACACACACACACACACACACACACACGCACACACGCAAATAGGTCACAAATATAAGTCGCAAATAATACTTACCTAGTACTACGAGTATTATGCAAGAGTGAATAGGTTTTTGTTAAGTCATAACCAGCGATGGGATTGTAGTTGCTTTACTACTTGCTGGGTAAAAATAGTAAAAAAAAATTACCCTGTGAAAGTTTGCATTTAGATATAACTTTTCTAACCAACCATAAAAATATGATGAGAATATGTATACAAGTATAAAGGTTGCCTCACACGGGACAGTAATAATATAATATTATATCTTCCATTATCTACGCATGAAAACTTTTAAAATCTCTCAATCCCTAGGTATGTGCATATTAAGAGGCTGAATAGAGCCACATTGATATACATGGGGATCGTTTTGTAATTTCACGTCGTTTTCGAAAAAAAATTGTACGTATTTCAGGTGGCGGTTTGTTTTTTTTTTATAGGAGAGGGGGCAAACGAGCATGCGGCTCACCTGATGGTAAGTGACTACCGCCGCCCATGAACAACCGCAACACCAGGGCAATTGCAGATGCGTTGCCGGCCTTTTAAAAAGGAGTAGGCTCTTTTCTTTAAGATCCCTAAGTCGTATCGGTCCGGAAAAATCGCTGGTGGCAAACTATTCCACAAGGAAGTTGTGCGAGGAAGAAAACATCTTCTAAATCACACAGTGGTGGACCGCCAATCATCCAGATGGTGTGGATGGTATCGGGAGTTCTGCCGCGATGTGCGTTCGTGAAATTTGGCGGCTGGGATTAATCCGAACAATTCCTCAGAGCACTCCCCATGGTAAATGCGAAAGAAAATGCTAAGAGATGCAACATCTCTTCGCAGTGCCGATGAGTCGAGCCGATCGGAAAGGACTCGGTCGTCGACGATTCGAGCCGCTCTGCGCTGGATGCGGTCAAGTGGAAGGAGCTGGCACTGGGGAGCCCCAGCCGACAGATGGGAACAGTATTCCATGTGAGGCTGAACCTGCGCCTTGTAAAGTTGTAAAGTTGCAGGCCTTGAGCTGGCATGAAATACTGTCCCGCTCTGCTGAGCACGCCAAGCTTTTTAGAGGCCAATTTGGCCTTCTCTTCCAAGTGACCACGAAACTGCACGTTACTCGATATGTCGACGCCGAGGATTCCGATACTGGCTGAGGCAACAAGGGGAGTACCTTGAAACTGAGGAGATACGACAAAGGGGTTCTTTTTAGCGGTAAACGCGCAAACTTGCGTCTTCTGAGGATTAAACTGGACTAGATTTAGTCGCCCCCAATCCGAGACTTTGTCCAGCAAAGACTCGACTTCAGACACAAGTTTGTCCCGGTACTCGGTGACGTTTTCCCGAGAAATATTGGCACGGCCGGTGTATAGAGCACCACCAGTGCTGTCATCCGCATAGCAATGAATGCTACCGGCTTGCAACATATCATTGATATGCAGAAGAAACAGCGTTGGTGATAGCACGCAGCCTTGTGGAACACCAGCTTTAATAGGCTTGTAGTCGGAGCATGCACCGTCTACAACGACCTTGATGCTCCGATCTGCAAGAAAGCTGGTGATCCAATTGCATAATTTCTCGGGAAGCCCATAGGAAGGGAGCTTTGAAAGAAGCGCTTTGTACCAAACCCGATCGAAGGCCTTCGCAATGTCCAAACTAACGGCCAATGCCTCCCCCTTGGACTCTACTGCCTCCGCCCATCTATGAGTTAAGTAGACCAGAAGATCACCAGCTGATCGACCCCGACGAAAACCGTACTGGTGGTCACTAATCAGCTGGTGATCCTCTAGATACCGCATGAGGTGGCAGTTTATAACGGATTCCATTATTTTGGAGAACAAGGGGGTTATGGCGATAGGCCTGTAGTTGGACGGGTCTGAGAGGTCGCCTTTTTTAGGGATCGGGTGGACAAAAGCATGATTCTTCATTCTTCCATGATTTCGGGACTACGCCTAGGGAGTAGCAGTACCGGAAAAGACGCGTTAGAACCGGTGCCAACTCCGGAGCACACGTCCTCAGCACAATTGGGGGGATTCCGTCAGGCCCACTCGACTTGTGGATGTCAAGGGAGAGGAGTGCTCTGCGAACCGAGCGCTGTGAGAACCGCACATCCGGCATGGAGCACTCACACCGCGGGATGGTCGGCGGTGTGTTCCCCCCGTCATCAACAGTCGAGTTGGACGCAAAAAGGGAGCCTAAAAGGTCGGCCTTCTCTTTTGCGTCATGGGCCAGTGAGTCGTCCTCCCTGTGCAGAGATGGTAGTGATGGCTTACAGAAATTCCCTTGGACAGCCTTGGCGAGAGACCAGAATGCACGGGTTCCCGAAGGAAGGCGAACTAGTTTCTCGCCAATTCTGCCTATGTGCTCTGACTTTGGCTTGGCAATAACTCTTTTGAAGGACCTGGAGGCGAAGTTATACTTCTTTTTAAGTATAGGTATAAGTATAGGCTTGATAACACTCCTGTTTACTGCGTAAGTAGCGACCAAACCAAGGCTGAGATCTGCCTCCGTTGGGTACCACAGATGATGGAATAAATAGTTCCATTCCCTGTAGCACCACATCAGTGACAGAGTCAGCAACAGCGCTGGGATCATTCGGCGAGAAGCAAACCCGCCCCCATGGGTAGGAAGCAAAGAAAGACCGCATTCCGTCCCAATCCGCCGACCTGTAATGCCAAACACGGCGGCAACCTGCAGAACGCAACCGCGAAGGGAGCGTGAGTGGCACCACACTCCGGATCAGACAATGGTCCGAAGAGCCGAGGAGGCCATCGACGGAAACCTGATATCCGTCCGGATGAGAGGTCAGCAGAATGTCCAACAGGGAAGGTATATGATCCTCAACACCTGGAATCCGCGTA